AAGGGTGATCAAACTTCTGTACCTGCTACATTTACTATTTGCTTATTTTTAATCCAAAACCAACCACATGTAATTAGCAAATACCCATTGAGATGAGCAAAAAGATACCTGCTTAACCTCGTATCACATGGAGTTTGTCTCTGCTTCTATTCTATTCAGCTTGATCAGCGGTACTTAAAATTTTGCATGGAACTAAACGGGTTATATAATAGAAGATAAAATAAATAGCCAAAAGCCAATAAAAAGCCATTTAAGATCATCAGTGTTGGGGAGAACTCAGTATTTTTCTGGAAATGGGTTAACGGATATTTGAATTTCAATACCGACAGCCTGGGATTGAGGCCCAAGAGGCACACAACGGGGTGAGCTCCCATTCCTGTCCCAGCTCCTGCCCACCTACCAGTTCTAAAGCATGCAAATGCAAGTGTATAAATAGGTACCACCTTGGTGGAAAGATAATAGTATTCTGTGAATCTTTGGTGTATAGCCATGCTGGCTACATGACCATAGAAAATGTCTTTGGACAATGCTGGTTCCCTTGGCCAAGAAACAGAGATGAGACCACCTCCTAAAGTTGGATATGATTGGATAGGGAGACCTTTACCTTTACATTCCCACTCATGCTTAGTAATACTATAACTACCGTGTTTCTCACATAATAAGGCCGGGCCTTATTTTTTTTTTGAGCCCCGAAAAAACGGCTAGGCTGTCTTTTCGGGGGTGACTTAATTCCCCCCACTTGCATCCTCGCCACCAGCCGCTCCTAACGGGTGATCGTGCCGAAGCGCAGAGAGCTCCCTACTCCCACCTTTGCTGCCACCTTTGGCACCCACTGCTGTTGCTTTCCCTTCTGCCCATTCCGCCGCCGTGTTTGGAGTGCCGCCGCCATTTGGAGCTCCAAACAGCGGCAGTGCTCCAAACACGGCGGCAGCTCGAAACGCGGAAGCGGCAGCTCCAAACATGACAGCGGGCGATCTTTTTATTTTGGTCCACGCGAAGTTCAGAGCGAGCAAGAGAGGGAGACTGCGATGCCTCCATCCGAGATGGCACCCTCACTAGTGGATCACAACGTGGCTGGAAGCCTGTGTTTGGAGCTCCAAATGGCGGTGGCACTCCAAACAGGAAGCGGCAGCTCCAAACGTAGCGGCGGAATGGGCAGAAGGGAAAGCAACAGCGGCAGGTGCCAAAGGTCTTGGGTCTGCAGCAAAGGTGTTTGGTGGGAGTAGGGAGCTCTCTGCGCTTCGCCATGACCGCCCGTTAGGAGCGGCTGGTGGTGAGGAATTGCTGCCCGCGGGGCGCTCCTAACGCCTTTCCCCCTTATTTTGCATGTTTTAAAATAGGCCTAAATTTGGGGGGAGGGGCTTAATTTGATTTTATGACAAAAAAACATGCTGGGTCTTCCTATTGGTGGAGGCCGTATTGTTGGAGAAACACGGTAAATTTGCAGATGATACAACAGTGGTGGGTCTCATCTCTGGGGGGGAGGGGGGAGTCTGCCTACCGAGATGAGGTAGACTGGTTGCTTTCGTGGTGTGGAAACAATAACTTGGTCTTCAACACCAATAAGACCAAGGAGCTTATAATGGACTATAGAAGGAACAGATCAGACATCCAGCCCTTGCTTATCAATGGAGACCAAGTGGTGTAAGTGGCCAGTTTTAAGTTTCTGGGTATTACCATAAAAGAAGACCTGACCTGGGGTGCTCAGCAGAGATTATCCTACCCGAGACTTCTCAGAAAACAACAACTGAGTGAAAAACTGCTGGTGACCTTCTACTGCTGCACCATAGAGAGTATTTAACCTTACTGCAGGCCCTGCCAATTGCACAGTGGCAGATAGGACAGCACTCCAGAAGGTTAACGTCATTGCCCAGAAGATCATTGGTTGCCTTCTCCCCTCTTTGGAAGAGCTTTATAGCTCCCCCTGCCTTAAGAAAATTCAAAACATTATCAAAGTTCCATCTCATCCTGGGAACCCTTTTTTTGAACTATTACCCTCTGGCAGACGGTAAAGAATAATAAAAACAAGAGCAAAGAAGCTGAAAAACAGCTTCTATCCCAGGGCAGAAGCTCTTTTGAATTCTGTTGTATAGTGCAGTGTTGGTGTGGTGTCGGGGGTTTCCGGTTCAATGTGTGAAGGGTGAAGGATGTGTGTTTGTGTTTATTTTCATAGTCAAAATGGACACTGAAGATGATATTTAATTTTGTTGTATGAAGTACAATGACAATAAAAACTAAAGTAGACTTCAGTAGACAATCTGCGGGTTGTTAACTAGGAATACATAGAGGATAATGAAACTGTAGGCTTTTTCAAAGCTACTGGAATGACTTTGAACTTAATGGCAAGAAGAGTTGGATATATAACAGTGGTGGGATTCAATTTTTTTTTACTACCGTTTCTGTGGGCGTGGCTTGGTGGACATGGCAGGGGAAGGATACTGTAAAATCTCCAGTCAGAGGTGGTGTTTTCCGGTTCTCTGGGCTACTCAAAATTTCCGCTACCGGTTCTCCAGAACTGGTCAGAACCTGCTGAATACCACCTCTGTTATATAACCCATTTTGAACTAAGGGTTGGGGGAACAGATGTAAAAAAAGCAGAAGTACTCAGATGGAGTATGGATTTTTAAGCTTGTCTTAATGGGGAAACTAGATTATTCAGCCTTTGTTGACCCTTGGCACAGCAACGTTCAGCTGAGTCAGAAATTAATGCGGTTGTTCAAAGATTTTCTCAAAGAGTTACTTTCATTTTAAGGCAGAGCAATTTCCTGCTTCTTTAATGGAATGAAGAAAACCACTTGAATGTGATGGTTCTTCAAAGCAATACTACTGAGTTCTTACAATAATGTACACACACACACACACACACACACACACACACACACACACAAAATCTGTCTCCAGTATTATGCTAATTGCTGAAGCAGCTTTCTCCTGAACTTTATATACCTGAGTGTGCAAATGCCCTTGAACAGCTCTATTGCTGGTATTTGGAACAAGAGCATCGTGTTTCTCATTTCATTATTCTGACTTGGACAAAGTGGCCATAGATGGATGTAGATGGACACACTAATTGCAGGTTAGTAATCTACATAAATTAGAAATTTCTCTCCTTGCCCCATTACCCTCCTCCCCCATTGCAAAAACACCTACTCAGTCTTGACTAAGCAAATTAAAGGTTTATTGTTGGATCTTGGTGCCAAAGTTCTATCTTCCTTGATGTACAGGCCTTCTTTGTGTAATCTGTGGAAGTCGTAATTAAACTTCTCTTGTGTGATGAAGAGCTACAATCGTATTTCAGTAGAAAGAGACTTTTAAGAAAAGGAGCATGTTGGTTTGGCAAGCTGATAGCGACTATTACTTTTCTTTTTATGTCTTCCAGAAGATTATGTAAACAAGAAATGTGAAATATCAGAAACAGAGATGATTTACTGATGGGCCATAGGCCAGATACTATTCTGTGTAGCCCTTGGCAGCAATACTAAATACTCCTTGCAGATTTACTCATGCCTCCAGAAGTTGTGGGGTGCACAATGGCTCAGCAGTTAAAACACTAGGCTTGTCAGCTGGAAAGCCGGCAGCACAGGTTCGAGACCTGAGTGCCACATGACTAGAAAACCTCCAAAGTTCCTTCCAACTCTTGTTACTCATAAGGAAAAAAATTATGAAGTTTGTAACAAGGAGAGGATTATTGTTTTTGTCTTTAGATATTGCATGTAATTCCTTTGATAATTCTCAAAGAAGAATCAAATTGAGTGTATCCCTGTGCATGTATAAACACACAGGTGTACCCAAAGAAACATACATACATACATATATACAAATATTTATTCATAATCTTCTTACTTATTCTCAGATTCTTCCTCACTAGTCCCTTGTAAATGTATATTACTAACTTTACATTAGAGCCTGACTAGCTAGGAAAACATGAAGTGATGGACCCAGCTCCCCGTTGAGACTGTCATAGAGAAAACCACGCATCTTCTAGTTGCCTAGCCTTCTTTTCTACACCTTTTCGAAATGAATTTTTTGGCAATGCAATGTAGGTTAATAGCTGTCAGCCAAGAGGCTGGGTTTGCCCTCTTCCGGCAATAGATCAAATGGAGCAAAAGTATTGTTGGTACTCTGCTATAAATAAAGTTTCAGAAACTCCCTTCCTGTTGGGTAAAATATATATATATATATATATCCTGATAAGTTTTTTAAAAATCATGTTTACAAGTTCTTTCAATCTGGGTCAGGGAAAGGGGAAGGGAAAAAGAAAATCATGAAAGGTGTATCAATTATATGTTGGATGGTAGAATAGAATAGAATATAATTCTTTGTTGGCCAAGTGTGATTGGACACACAAGGAATTTGTCTTGGTGCAAATGCTCTCAGTGTACATAAAAGAAAAGATACATTCATCAAGAATCATAAGATACAACACAATAGTCACAGGGTAGAATAAGCAATCAAATCATACTAGGAGTGATGGGAAGATTAATAGTAATAGTGCGGATTTGTAAATAGTTGGACAATGTTGAGGGAATTATTTGTTTAGCAGGGTGATGGCGTTTGAGGAAAAACTGTCCTTGTGTCTAGTTGTTCTGGTGTGCAGTGCTCTATAGCGTCATTTTGAGGGAAGGAGTTGAAACAGTTTATGTCCGGGATGTGAGGGATCTGTAAATATTTTCACAACCCTCTTTTTGATTCATGCAGTATACAGGTGCTCAATTGAAGGCAGGTTGGTAGTAATGGTTTTTTCTGCAGTCCTAATTATCCTCTGAAGTCTGTGTCTGTCCTGTTGGGTTGCAGAACCAAACCAGACAGTTATAGCGGTGCAGATGACAGACTCACTAATTCCTCTGTGGAACTGGATCAGCAGCTCCTTGGGCAGTTTGAGCTTTCTGAGTTGGCGCAGAAAGAACATTCTTTGTTTACCAGCATCACACACACGCATACCCATTGTATTCTTTTGAGGTTTATAATTTTTACATGATTTCCTCTCTCCTCTCTTTCAGCTCTTTGAGAACTTCGAATTTGGAGAAGTACAGCTGAATTCCATCTGTCTGTCACAGCGATTCTCCACTGACCAGTCGGGTTACTACGCCTCATCTGGGCAGCTCAATTTCTCCTGAATTGCAGACTCATCTGTCCCGATAGATTGCACATAATGAGATCCAGGAGTGTCTAATATACAAGGGCAATAATGATTTAAACGTGCCCTGCTATTAGATCAGGGTCACTCTGTTCTCCCGAATCAACCTTAGAACTTCGCCAATATCTGCGCAAAAAAAAAAACCTGACCTAAACTGAATGAAAGAAAATAGTTATGCAATTAAATAAGTTACTTTGGTTGGCAGGTGTTTTGTTGGGAGAGAAAAAAGCTGGAAATAAAAGACGTAATAGTACCTGCATTTAGGAAGCTATAAATGTACAGAAATTACCCATTAATTATTTTTAATGGCTAACTTTTCAAATTAAAGGGAAAAAAACCCACGTCTTTTTGTGGCACTTCAAATTGCCCTGAAATCCAAGTCTTTTGTAGCTTTCAAAACCTTTGCTAACCTTGTGATAGTTTTTCCTTTAACTGCAAACGGCATTTGTGTGGGGGGTTTTTGTTGTTGTTGTTGTTTCGTTATATAGCTAACATGCTGAATCCACCAAGGATTCGTGGTGGTTTACAACTAATGATTAAAACATGCACATTACAAATACAATTAAAGCATCCATGGTAAATAAACTAATTAAGACAATTAAATCAAAACATAATTACAATAATTGTCAGAACATCAACCGCCAGTCCAAAAACAACCATAATAGTAAAAATGACGGCGAAAGAAGAATCATCAAAAGCCCTTCGGAAAACTGTTTGTTGTTGTCTTCTGGGAAGGCATTAACGAAGATACCAATTTAATTTGTAAGGGGAGCCTGTTCCATAAAAACTGGAGATGAGAAAGCACCTCCTAGTTTCCTCTCCTCTCATTGGAAGCGAGGAGTCCCTATAGCCTTTCCTGGAATAATAATCACGGTTGGGAAGATTCAATGATTCAATTCAGAGAAGATGACCTGTGGTGCATTTAGGCACTGAGCCATTTACAGTTTTATCAGTCAAAATTTGTAGTGGGATTTAATCTGGATTCCCAAGAGGCAGGAAGAGCATTCCAGAGGAGAAGAAGGAAAAGAAGAAACCCAGCAAAGTTGAGATGGTTTGTGTGGGAGAAAGAAGATAAAGGCAGCTCCTCCGTGGGAGTTCTCAGAAAATATGTTTTATGGTGCAAATCATCTGCATTAGACTGGCAAGATTTCTGTCTATAGGTGAAGCCCAATAAAGGAAACTACTTAGAAGAACCTCAGCATGTCCCTCTTGGTTTTTGGAGCCTGACAAAACCAGCACTTTGAATTGCACCTGAAAAGTTATCAATAGCCAGTGCAGGCCTACAACACCAGTGTTGGATGTTTCCGAGAGTCGGTAACTACCAGCAGTTATTCAAACAATCATTGGTCCTATCTGCCAGTTGTTGTGGAAATTCCCCAGTCTCTGCTGAAACCCATCTGGAATCATAAAGCACACTAGATGTAATATTCATCATCTGTGTGTTCATCAGTGCGAGATCCCAGGTGGCAGTGAATCTCATAAGGACCAAGAAATTTATAATGTCTGCCCTACAAAGTAGACCAGATCAAGAAACAGGTATTGTGTCTGTGCCTCAAATTAAGATTGGGTATAGTAACAGAACCTTGCAAGCCTGAATGTGCTTCTTTCTCTCTTACCTTTCGTGTAAATTTGAAGGGGGAAGCCTGAGGTGTTTGCATTTTCCTTCTATGGGCTTCTGCAATTTTTATCTGCTTGTTTCTTGGTACAGCATCCCCTCTCTCCATCAAGGTCCTCCCATTTATTATTTACATGATCTGACCCCAGTAATTGTCCTCCATCCATCAGCTACTTTGAGAGAAACACGAGAGAAAAGAAGAGATCAATCTATTTTCCAAAACACCAGAAGGCAAGACAAGGGATGGAATCTAATCAACGAGAAAAGCAACCTAGAGCCAAAAAACTTCCTAATAGTAAGAGCAATTAACCAGTGGAATGGCTTGTCTTCAGAAGTTGTGGTGCTCCACCACTGGAGACTTTTAAGAAGAGGCTAGACAGCCACTTGTCTGGAATGGTATAGGACCGTGATGGCAAACCTATGGCACACGCGAGGTCACCCGGAACAACCTCACTGTGCATGCGTGCGCGCCTCCCACCAGCCAGCTGATTGTTGGGTATCTGCCATGCATCTGCGGGGGGAGATGCACGCATGGGAGATGCATGCGCAGAGGCATGCGGCATGGGGGGGTCACGCATGCATACGCAGGGACACGTGCATTTGCAGTGGGCAGGGGGAGTTGCGTGCACATTACATGGATGCAGGTACACGAATGCGCACACATGCGTGCACTTTTGGCACGCAATGTGGAAAAGGTTCACCATCAAAGGTATATGATCTGCTATCTGATTGAACTAGAAGACCTTCAAGTTTCCTTCCAACTCTCTTATGCTGTTATGACTGCCAGTATATGTAGGGCTAGAGGTTACTTGACATAAAGCCATTGTGATGAACCAGGGTGGGATACAAAACAAACACAGTCACAGAAAACAGGTGAAGCCCCTTTTATTCCTTCACTTTGCTTCCAAGTTCTGAATATTCTTGATGGAAGACAAAAAACTCCCACACAAACAGTTACAAGAAGAAGGAAAAAAGCAAGACAAACCAGGCAAAATAAGGGCTGGAGGACGTCCACAGATAACACACACTGGGAAAGACGCCAAACTCAAGAGAGGAACCATAAACTAGAGATATTTACATGATTTGTTTCCAGCATTTGCCAGTACGCAGGTCCGTCTTCTTATTCAGTTGTCACACCTGCAGCCCATGAAGAGGATCAAGGCCCTCTCCTCCAGAGGAGACCACCTTTCTCCCTTATCCTCTCCTCCCTGCATGCCCTAGGATGGAGAGGGGATGGGCCTGGGTCCTCCTCTAACTCCTCAGCCGGCCTCTGCCCTTCCCCAGCCTCCTCCACAACCTCCGGAGTCACATTTCCACTCCCTGTTGGCTGTTTCTCCTCTCGTACCAGCAGTCATATTCGTAGCTCTCTATCATTGCCAATCAAACATTATAATAAAGTCCATGTTTTTAGCTGAAATAATTACCACAATTCAGATAACACTTTTTTCAAGGAGTCCTGTTTCTTTGAGCGGGAATAAGGCTTTGTAGGGATCATAGGTGCATACATCTGCTTTATGGTTTTGGAAGTCCATATCCAGAAATATAATACTTAAGTGAACAGTGCAACATGTCACCAGCCTAGATTACAAGCTTGAAGGATCTGCTTCCAAGATCACAAACATTGCTCCTACTATGAATCTCAGCCTTGTGGCTTTCATCTGGAAACTCATGTCAACTGTTTTACATGAGTTCTGTAAGCCATTCCATAATCATGTACAAAATGAGGAAACGGTAGGGAGATAGTTAAAAGAGAGACAAGAATAAGTACAGAGAGAATGCCTCACGTTTTCAAAGAAGGTGACAAATAGATTTATTGGATGCTGAATAAGTCTAGCAAAACCCAACCCAATCAGTTTTACTCACTGTCGGTTGCATATTTTGTTGTAAATAATTCATTTAGGATTTAATTTCTTTTCAAGGAGGAAGACCAGTGAATTCAGATAACATCCATCCCCATCCCCCTGTTACAAATTGGAGCTATTTCTGAGAAGTCTGCTGAAAAGAATATGAGTATGTGGTGTTTCCAGAAAGATATATTGTGCCACAGGGTTCATTGAGTATTCCTTGGGAGTTGTCTTCATGCAATAATAAAGAGTTTCAGCAAGGAAGAGTTTTTATGATGTTTATTTGCTCAGTCTGTGGACTTGGGTTTCTCTTTGGATTAGAATTAGAATAGAATCGAGCTGGAAGGGTCCTTGGAGGTCTTCTAGTCCAGCCCCTTGCTCGAGCAAGAGACCCTATACCATTTCAGACAAGTGGCTGTCCAGTCTCCTCTTAAAAATCTCCCGTGATGAAGTGCCCACGATTTCTGAAGGCAAGCTGTTCCACTGGTTAATTGTTCTCACTGTTAGGAAGTTTTTCCTTGTTAGCTTTTGCAGCAGAAACTCAAATCCAGAAAGCACACAAATGACTGATTCAGCAGAATTCATTAACTTCTTTATATACATAATACATAAGTACATTAACAATACTAATGTAGGTTCTTCCAATGTGGTAGCAGGTACAGGCAAAACACAGGCATAGCAAAGAACAGTTTCACTTTTGATTCAGAGTTGCAAGAATGCAGCTTCAGAGCTCAGAGCTTAATACAGAGCCACACCCAAGCTCATTCCATTTTCAGTTTCCAAACAGTCCTCATTGGCTGACTTAGTTGCTATGCCTATTCATTGGCTGACCTTGTTACCATGCCTCTGCCAGTTTATGAATATTCTATTTCTAATATAACAATACTATCTTATGTACCTTTGCAGAATCCCTTTTTCAATTAGATTTTCACCCATTATCTCTAAATAGGCCCTGTTTCTCTATATCTTGTTTCTATCCTTTATAACTTCTTTTCCTTTCTTCCCTCTCTTCTTCTCCCTCCCCTTTTTACCCCCTTGTCTCTCTACTTCTAATTCTCTTCTGCATTTCCCTCTTCTGTTGTTTTCTGATTTTATACTTATTTTTCACTCTATTCTCTTTTTGGATTGTTTTTTCCAGTCTTAAACTTTCCATTCTCTTCCCCCCCCCCTTTCCTTTTTTTTCCCCACCTAAAATTACTTGTTCATTAAAGATGGCTTCTTCTTTGTCCCAATCTTCTTGTTCTGCAGGCATTTCTTGTTGTTTCTCATAGTTCCAAATCTCCATTGCTAAGAACTGAAATATGAAGCCAAAAGAACCTCTCCCTTCTTGTGCATCTTCTTTGTACTTTTTAAGTTCCATTTGCAGTTCTTCTAAGAGTGGAGCCATTTTAAACACTTTTAAACAACCACCCGATTTATTTTAGTCATTCAAATGCAGTAACCAAGAATCCAGAGATCACCAAGTAATCCAAATATTCCCGAGCTGTTTCTTATTTCTTTTTTCACTTTCTCTTCCTGGGGTTTTACTACTTTGTTGCCATGTTTCAGTTAACATGTATCTTTTACAAGTCTTGTTGAGCTTTTACTGTGAGTTCTTTTTAATTCCAGGCAGTCTCCTCCCTTCCAGATCCTGCCCGTTTATTCTTTTTCTCTCCTTTCCTGTTTTCAAAAGCTTTTAATTATCCAGAAATCTTTATTATCCCTTTGACTTTTTATTTTCAGCATTAAATGCCTATTAATGTCAAAGTGGTTTTT